CCTTCTCCTTCATTCTTCTCTCATGATCTTGGGCAAACATGTTCACATGCCCAGCCTGAGTTTTAAGCCACTGAATACAGGACTCAAACCATGGTAGATTGCATGAGAGTCCAGCGATATAACCATTACACCCTCCACTGGTCCACTCCTCTCATCTTTTTTTAAACACAGAGCTTCTCACTGTCTCAGAGTCTTCTTGCCTCAGGTTCCAAGGTAGGATCACAGGCACACAACACGCCTGGCTCTTTTTTTAAGACAGTCTCATTCTATGCCTTGGTTAGGTTTGAGCTTGGGATCCTCCTGTCTCAGCCTCCCTAGTGTCTGGGATTACAGATACTCACCACTACTCACAGCCTTAAGGTTGGAGTGGGACTCTAATGTGGGTCTCTCATTAGGTGCCAACTTGCTGTCCCAGCATCTCAACACTGTGTGCCATTGTGACCTGGCTGACACCATTTTAGGATATGTGTGAAAGAAAAAAAAAAAAAAACTTCATTTATAACTCTTGAGTTTTCAGGTCTAAAGTGATCTGAGTCATTAGAAGAATCAACCAACTTTAGGTAAGTGTTCACTTAACAAAAATGGCCTATCATAAAAACAGTGGTCTTGAGACCAGCAGTTGGCGTAATGGCTATTGCTGAACTCCCATGTAGTCAACCGCGGTCAAGTCCTGGACCTGGTGGCTTAAACTCATGCAGGGAATGTGTGTGTGCATGCCCAAGGTCCTAAGAGGAGAATGGAAGAGAAGGGATTGTGGCGTGGCCATCTTTCTTGGGGGGTGATTTCTTGCTTTCTGTTTCTCTCTGTCTTTCTGGTGAGTGCACGTGCTCTATAGCAAAAATCTCTCAAAAAATAAACAACAGCAAAAACCCACAAAAAACAGTGGTTTTCCAAACCTCCCAATCTGCTAGTGGAAATGGTAAGTTCTCAGAGATCCCAGGGCACCTCTTGGATGCTCTGAGTGTCTAGTTTTGCAGATTGTTGTAAGTTCCTTGTTTACATCTATGGCAACAGGCCTTGATGCTCAGATTGCTTTTCCAAAATGGGGACATGCATAGCTCAAACCATCATGGACAATGTGGGGTCATACAGTGCATATATAAATGGGAGAAATGAGGTTTAGGACAGAAACGTGGGATAGTCTAATAAATAAGGTGACCAGAACATTTTCTAACTCACTGCTAAAGTTAAGTATTTAATGGTTTAAAAAAGATTGAGTGACCCAAGGATATAAGGAATTATGAGGCCTACGTAAGAGGGCATTTATCTGTATTCCCTTGGTTTCAGGAGGTGATTAAAGTTTTGTGCTATTCTTGCTGCCGACATTGTTACCTCCTTGCTGTCTCAAGAAAGGTTACTAATTCTTTGCTGGTTTTACCGAAGGAAATGGGCAGAACAGCAAGACTCACAATTATAATCTGTTTTTTCTTCATTCAAGAAAATTGGCTCATGTGTGTGACTTGATAAAACGTTTAATTGAGAAGAAGCCTTACTAATTGCATTCAGTGAAGTGAAATGTCCTCTGAATAAGACCACTTATTGGTTAAATCACATTATCAGCAGAGCTATAAATCTGAATCATCTCATTTTAATGAGATTTACAGGCTTTTATTTCATTCTTTGGATAGGTAAAATCAATCATTGGACATCAGTTTAGCTTTATTCATATGTGCATTCACATAAAATTGTACTGTACATCTCAATGTATAAAGGAAGTTAGAGTAATTCAGATGATTTTAATTCACTAGACAGGTTAACTTTAGAGATTCTTTTCTTTCTTTCTTTTAAAAGAATGATTTAATTTAATTTAATTTATTCATTCATTTATTTTAATTTGACCTGAAACAGACATCTCCCCCGCCCACACACACACACACACACACACACACACACACACACACAGAAGGCGAGTCACCAGATCTGAGACTTGAGCTATGTTCAACCATATGAGAGTGTCCAGGGCCTTAACCACCATGCCACCTGCTGGTCCCTGAGGTTATTTTGTTCTATGCTTTCAATGATGATTGTAACATTATGGACGTTTTCATGAAAAAGCTATCAAAGTGGATAAGAGTCTAACAGATTTCCTGATTATGAAAAAGTGGGGTATAGACTCTGTGTTATGGAACAGGATTGTTCTGGAGATTTTTTTAAGGTAGCTTTTGTACCTTTTCTGTTTAATGAAAATGAGGCATAGGTATTTCTACAAATACAATTACTGAAGATATTGGAGTAGAAGAAAATTCCATTTGAAAATGCTGCCACCTTTCTGCTAAAAAGCAAACCATATCGTAGTTTGTCATTCTTGTGGTATCTTTAGTACTTTCTGACACTTACTTTAGCTTTGGGAGACAGAATTTGATGGTTGAAAAATAAGTCTGTGTTAGATGCCTTTGCTGGATGCTTCTGCCTGTTGGAATGTCCCACAATATTGTAATTGCCTGTGTGTCTTTCTCTTGAGAGAGTTCCACGAAGAATGTGTCTTCTATGACATTGTGGCTTCCAGCATTTACAACAGGGGCTACAAGGATTAGCTAGTCCAATGTTATTGACTGAAAGTATACATAGACTCCCATGATGCAACTCTTACATTGCTTAAAATATAAAATGATTCTGTGTTATTACATTTGAAATTATCTTCAGAGAATAAATTCCTTCAGCATTTTCATCAAGATGGTAAAAAAATCTACCCTTTCGGGGAAGTTTTCCTTTTATGAGGTAGTCCAAATAATTTGGAACGGTTTCTGCTTGAGCAAGATAGTTATTCTTGCTACGTAATCAGTTTTAGTTTTGAATGAGGCACAGCAACACAGATTTGTGTGTTTGTCTGGTGATGGTCTCCGTAGACAAGTTCCTTTTTTCTCCACATTTTAATTTTATTTTATTTATACTTCAATCACTGTATATCATTACAGCATGCAAAATGAATTTCCCTGGCATGAATACACTGTTATTAGTCCAGTCTAAGGCAGTTTCAAAAGAAGCATTCCAAAAACGTTTTGATTGGGGGTTGTGTCACTGAAATGAAGAGCTAATCTCCCTAAGGAACACCTATGAGGAACATATTTCATAGTAACTTCCATTTGGTTACTCCAATTTTGATATTGTCTCTGTTAACATCTTAGAGCAAAGTTTCTAGACTTATCTTCTGTTTTCCCCTCTAAAACTTGAACTGATACTCATTAGCTACAGAATATATCCCAAATGCTTTAACTTGGCATTTAATGCCACCCATTATTGGGCATCAGCCTACATATTTAAATTTATACCTACTTTTTCCCTCCCTATAACCTGCATATAACCAGTACTAACCCCACTCATGAAAAGTCCTTTTCCTCAGAACTGAATGTTTATGCAATCCATATCTTCATCTATTAAGCCCCCTTTCTCCTTCAAGACTTCACTTAAATGTAGTCAGTTTGAATTTTCTCCTTTCTTTCACTTTCTATATTATTATATCTATAAATTTGATGGCTCTTATCATGTCTCCCTTGTTTATGGATCTTATATACATATATGCTGTTGACTCTAAGCCATTTGAACCCAGCAAACAAATCTCTCTGGTCCTTGACTCATCCATAAGGGAATCTTAATAATTATTTATTGGGGTTATGAGGACATAGCACATATATAAACCAATAGCATCAAATAGTTTGGGTGTTTATGACTATGGCTATTATGATGTTGCCTCATATTTCTTTAAGAGCTTTTGGAATTTGGAAATTGTTATTCCTCTAAAAATCTCATGGTTGAGCATGTGATTCAGTAGTTCAGCAATACAGGGTGAATTGTTATAAAACCATGAATAATTGGGAAACTTGGGAAACAGGGTGTTCTGAATAATTTAATTTTTGGACTAACTTAGAGTAAAGCAGAAAATCCTTTGTGTTTCATTTCTCATTGAAAAATTCTTTCTAAAATATGCTAATTTCTAATCTTTGCCAAAAATCATCATTAATTTTTTTTGATAAATGAGTGTATTAGAATGTCTTTGGGTAATTATTACATGCCTTAATTCCTATTTTATATCACCATAAATGTAAATAAAAAAGTATTTGGTTTTACATTTTATCTCAAAGCCTTTTTTTTTCTTATTTCAAAGCCCTGGATATTATTTTCGAATAGGAATGAATACCTGATATAGATATTTTATAATCTTAAGCATAAAAGAACTAGAACAGGTGCTTTAGTTTGTCTTAATGAGTGCATTCTTTAGTTTCAATTTAGTTGTTTTTTTTTTTTTTTTTTTTTTTTAGGTTTCTGCTATGGGGCACATGCGCTAGCCAGGAAAACAGAGAGTGACAGAGAGACAGAAAGCAAGAAATCACCCACTGGGGGGATGGTCACGCCGTAATCCCTTCTCCTCCAGTCTCTTCTCAGGATCTTGGGCATGCATACACACACACCTGGCGTGAGTTTAAGCCACTGGGTCCAGGACTCGTACCACGACTGACTACATGGGAGTCCAGCGACATAGCCATTATGCCAACTACTGGTCCCTCAATTCAGTATTTTCAAGTAGTTTACTATACGTGCACGCATGTGTGTGTGTGTATTTATGTGTGTATAATCGAAAGCAAAAATGCATCATGACTTTTCCAACTATATATATAGCAAAAATGCATCATGACTTTTCCAACTATATATATATATATATATATATATGACTTTTCCAACTATATATATAGCAAAAATTATAATTGCTAGTACTACCAGTATTTTTTGTTTTCTAATAGAAAAAGAGAAAGAGACTTGCATTATAATAATATTGGTGAAAATCAGTTCCATCAGATGTATTACATTTGTAACTATATTAGTATATAAATATCTACATAGCTCATATTGTATTTAACACCTATAATACTTTTTTTTGGTTCCTTAACTTTAACCTTTTCCTTCCAAAGATTTCTGCTTTTAAAATTTTCCTGAATTATGTGGTTTAGATTATGTGACATAAACTGATTTATATATGGCATAATTTTTGTCTTTGTTTTTTACAGAGATATTTGCAAGTCAGGATAAATCTATTTTAGACAATCTTAAGACAACAGTCATGAACACCAAAGATTTTGTAGTTCTTCCATGGGGAAAACCTGGAAATTCTGTAAAGTTAAAATATAAGTAAGTACATACATATTTATTTTATGATAGGAGCATTTGATAAACTTTATATTGTAATTTAAACTATTATTTTTCCATGAGACTATTTAGAATTGAATTAAAATTTTATGAATTTTTATGTCCATTTTCTTTACATTTAAAAAGAATACATGAGTAAACCTGAAAGACTATACACCTGTAATAGTTTAAAAATGAGAACTAAACAGATTAATTCTATAAGAAATGAACCGAAAGTCATAAATAAAGGTTGGGTCCATTAACCATGTAATATAGCATAAAGTTAAACATTTTTCGACCCTTATTCAAAATTGCATAAGATTGCTTCTGAAATTAAGGAAGCTGTTAGGGTGAGAGACCTTTAGACGGAATAGAAAGCACTACATACCCTAGCTCTTTCATAAAGGACGTTATGCTGAATTCACTTTTCTCCAGAAAACTACCTTCTGTCCAGATTGTCTGAGAGGTGTGTCCAACTAGAGGTGATGAATTCTTTTCTCTCTCTCTTTCCTTCCTTCTTTCTTTTTTTTTTGGAGAGAGATTTTTGCTATAGGGTGCATGCTGTCACTGGAGACACAGAGAGAGACAGAGACAGAAAGCAAGAAATCACCCCCTTGAGGGATGATCATGTCACAATCCCTTCTCCTCCATTTTCCTGTTGGGATTTTGGGCAGGTATACACACATGTCTGGAATGAGTTTTAAGTCACTGGGTCTGGGACTCGAACCACAGCCAACTACATGGGAGTCAGTGACATACCATTAAGTTATCTGCTGGTCCCTAGGCAACCAATTCTGAGTATCCTGGGGAGTTTATGATACTGCAGGAGTATGAGAGGGTTCAACCCACTGTTTCCCTGTGAGATCAGCAAGTCACTGAAAGTCCTCAGGGCCTTCCGCTCACATATCACTAAGAACCCACCAGCATGGGCTGGAAACAGACAATTTTTAATTTTGGTTTCTGAGTTCCTAGATCGAGTGCAATAGTCCTGTGGTTGTTTATTCAGCGCCTCCAGAGCTTTCCTGATACTCTCTTTGCTTTTTCAAATACTCTGTGTAAAAGCAGGTATAGAGGAATTAGAGCATTTTAGAAATAGAAAGATACAAAATTACCTGGCTGGGTTAAGTGGGGTAATGCCTGTTGGTGGTCAGCATCCTCCTAATTCTGGAGTGGGTGCTAAGCTCGAGTGGTAGAAAGATTAGAAAATGTCATACAAATATGTGTCATTATCATTATTAGGTATAATACTTTTTTGGTGGAGGGAGAGAGCTTTTTCATTGATAGAGTACTACCAGTTTTTTCCCCAATAGAAGAAGAGACATACATTATTTGATTTCAGTGACATGTTTCAATCCCCATAAATACTCATCTAACATACATTACGTACATATTGTTATATGCATTGTAGATGAAAAATGGTGGATACGAATACTAGGAAGTTATGGTTCTTGGCCTCACTAGTTTGTAAAGGAGGAGAATAAGTCAAATTTATACCAGCACTATCATGTGAAGCCTGGTGCAGTGTGTAAACCGAGAGACCAACGAGAATATGGCTTAAACTGCTGGGGCAGGGCTAAGGTATCTAAGTTTAACAGCAAAGACGCAATTAGTTGGGTAGTTATTGGGTAAAATTACCTGAAGACAGAGTCCTCATAGTTTCGGGCATTTCAGACTTACTGTATTGGTTAAGAACAAAACTGGAAAAGAGGGCAGGGTCTAAATTTTAACTTACTTATACGCCATAGTAATGAGTTTCATGGAAATGAGGGAGAATTACTGTCCTCAGACTTTCTGACCTACCCATGATCTACAAACCTATAAAATTCAGGTCAGGAATATCCACTCTATAGTAATTGCCGCGGGGTTTCCTTTCTCACCCATTCCTTGTTCTAAAGCGTGTTTTCATTTGGCATTTTAAGAATTATCTTCACTTTGTCTAACATTCTGATATTCTCGGGCTTCCCTTCATCTCTTTCCTTGCTCCCAACTCACTGCACTCTTATTTCTGGCCCTTCAATTTGTTGCCGCCTGGCTCTTCAATCCTGTTGTGTCAAAGAGGATCAGCTTGAGCTTTCCTTAGTGTATTGCTTGCTCCTCTGACTCTGTGTCTAAAGTCTTCTCCAGGAGGGATTGTCTTTTCTGAGACCCATCAAATTAGACCATAAACTTGACCACTTGTTCAGTAGGCCAGGCCTTTTTTTCCCCAGTCGCATCCCCTTTTCTCCACCACAGTGGGAATATCGGAAATATTAAAAGTCACATAAGCAAATGAATGACAAATCACATTTTAGCTCCTGAACCCTTCTTCTGGAAGCAGTATGCACTGCGCTATAGGCTGCTGAGACTTTGGGCAGGGAGGTCAAACGGGAGACCAATTCTGAATTGTGCCTCCAACCCCCTTCAGCATGGTCTAGATCAAGAAATGACACACTGTCCTTTGGGCTTCTCAATTAGGAAATCTGGGATTATTTAAAAATGTTTTCTTTGCCCTCTCCCTGGTGAGTCACCTAATTGTGATTAGTGTCCACAACCAATTAACTCTATATTTTATATTTCTAAAATGCTCCGATTCCTCTGTTGCCTCTATTCATCAGTTATAAATATCAATACTATTGTGGTATAAATCAGATGGGCTTTCTGCTTCCAACCTTCCTATCTTTCCATCTATTTTCTTTTTTTATTCAATTTATTATCATAATTTTTTAATATTATGTCAAATCACATATATATTCATAGTGTATTATATTTCTTTTTCCAGCAGGAACACCATGCATTATCAGTCAATACAAAGACATTTGTCCACATCATCATTATCAAATAGCTTTTCCTTATTTTTTTCAGATCATTATTATTATTATTATTTTCATTTTTGTAAAGATTCAATGACTATATATCATTTGGCTTCCTTCTGTTTTCCACTAAATATCAGCATAATTTCTCTCTTATTTGAATTACTGTAACAGTCTCCTAACTAGCTGTCTTGCTTCTGGCATTCTTTAATTGCTTTTCCATAATAAAGCCAGAGGAATCTTTCTAATTACAAGCTCATCAATTCTTTTATTTTTAATTGCCAGCAAGTATGTGTGCTTATGAGAGAGGAGAGAGAGAGAGAGAGAGAGAGAGAGAGAGAGGGGAGGTCAAACGGGAGACCAATTCTGAATTGTGCCTCCAACCCCCTTCAGCATGGTCTAGATCAAGAAATGACACACTGTCCTTTGGGCTTCTCAATTAGGAAATCTGGGATTATTTAAAAATGTTTTCTTTGCCCTCTCCCTGGTGAGTCACCTAATTGTGATTAGTGTCCACAACCAATTAACTCTATATTTTATATTTCTAAAATGCTCCGATTCCTCTGTTGCCTCTATTCATCAGTTATAAATATCAATACTATTGTGGTATAAATCAGATGGGCTTTCTGCTTCCAACCTTCCTATCTTTCCATCTATTTTCTTTTTTTATTCAATTTATTATCATAATTTTTTAATATTATGTCAAATCACATATATATTCATAGTGTATTATATTTCTTTTTCCAGCAGGAACACCATGCATTATCAGTCAATACAAAGACATTTGTCCACATCATCATTATCAAATAGCTTTTCCTTATTTTTTTCAGATCATTATTATTATTATTATTTTCATTTTTGTAAAGATTCAATGACTATATATCATTTGGCTTCCTTCTGTTTTCCACTAAATATCAGCATAATTTCTCTCTTATTTGAATTACTGTAACAGTCTCCTAACTAGCTGTCTTGCTTCTGGCATTCTTTAATTGCTTTTCCATAATAAAGCCAGAGGAATCTTTCTAATTACAAGCTCATCAATTCTTTTATTTTTAATTGCCAGCAAGTATGTGTGCTTATGAGAGAGGAGAGAGAGAGAGAGAGAGAGAGAGAGAGAGAGAGGAGAGAGCCCCCCAATAGACTTTGATCACATTACGTTCCCATCTCTTCCATTTCTCCACCCTGTCAGGATTTAGGGTATATACTCACACTTACCTAGGATGCTTTTCAAGCTACCAGGTCAGGATTTGAACTGCTATCAGCCATATGAGATCTGAGTCCCTTAACCCCTAGGCTATTGCTTCTTTTAAAATGCTTTAACAATCATTGTTGTTCATGGAATTCCTCTTCATGGCTTTCAAGCTCTTGATGATCTGGTTACTGTCCATTTCAGCCACTTTCCCCCTTCTGCATTTAATGCCTGGTCACAGGAAACTTCTAGTTCCTCGATCCATATGCTATTCTTTTCTACCTATGACCACACTGTTCTTTCTGGAACACTGCTCACCATCTCGTTTTGAATGGCTAAATCCTTTCTTCCTGTAGATCTCAGTTCGGGCTTCACTTAGTGCAGAAACTGTAAGGTCTCATGGATGGGATATGTGACCTTCCTGTGTACTCAGGTAGTCCCCTGTATTTCCACAATGAGAAGACCATCACACTTTTTCTCCATACTGGAAGCCCCATTGTGTCTTGTATCCTATCACCTATTATAGTTCTTGTTTGTATTAGGAGCTAAATTCCTCCTTTTGGGGAATTTACTCTAAATTGTGGCCAACTTCTTTGAACCCACTGGATAACTTTTGCCTCTTATCATTTTCTCTCTGGACTGTGTCCACTTGGGGATACATCCTGGCAGTTTCATGTTGGTGACTGCTAACCACCTCTATGTATTTATTTTTATATTTTGAGAGATTTTTGCTATAGGGTGATTATGCTTACTGGAGAGACAGGCAGAGAGACAGAAAGGGAGAAATCACTCCCTGGGAGGGTTACCATGCTGCAATCCCTTCTCCTCCCATCTCCTCTCAGGATTTTGGGCGTGGACACACATGTTCCCAGCATGAATTTCAAGCCACCACGTCCAAGATGCAAACTGCAGTCAACTATGTGGGAGTCGAACACCTTAACAACCTGCTGGTCCCACCACCTCTATTAATGCTCATCTCTGGTCTTCATTATTCCTTAGTTCGATTCCATGACAAGTAGGCCTGGGTGCCCACAGTACTGTATTATGGTAAAACACTAATTAGTAATGAAGAGACTCAAACCCATGAGAGATAATAACAGCTAAAGCATTGTGCTGACATCCATCTATAAAAGAAAGTCAGTGACTTAGCTGATAAAGACATGAATTGAAAAATTTTTAAAATGGCTGTGTTAGATCACATTACGTTCCCATCTCTTCCATTTCTCCACCCTGTCAGGATTTAGGGTATATACTCACACTTACCTAGGATGCTTTTCAAGCTACCAGGTCAGGATTTGAACTGCTATCAGCCATATGAGATCTGAGTCCCTTAACCCCTAGGCTATTGCTTCTTTTAAAATGCTTTAACAATCATTGTTGTTCATGGAATTCCTCTTCATGGCTTTCAAGCTCTTGATGATCTGGTTACTGTCCATTTCAGCCACTTTCCCCCTTCTGCATTTAATGCCTGGTCACAGGAAACTTCTAGTTCCTCGATCCATATGCTATTCTTTTCTACCTATGACCACACTGTTCTTTCTGGAACACTGCTCACCATCTCGTTTTGAATGGCTAAATCCTTTCTTCCTGTAGATCTCAGTTCGGGCTTCACTTAGTGCAGAAACTGTAAGGTCTCATGGATGGGATATGTGACCTTCCTGTGTACTCAGGTAGTCCCCTGTATTTCCACAATGAGAAGACCATCACACTTTTTCTCCATACTGGAAGCCCCATTGTGTCTTGTATCCTATCACCTATTATAGTTCTTGTTTGTATTAGGAGCTAAATTCCTCCTTTTGGGGAATTTACTCTAAATTGTGGCCAACTTCTTTGAACCCACTGGATAACTTTTGCCTCTTATCATTTTCTCTCTGGACTGTGTCCACTTGGGGATACATCCTGGCAGTTTCATGTTGGTGACTGCTAACCACCTCTATGTATTTATTTTTATATTTTGAGAGATTTTTGCTATAGGGTGATTATGCTTACTGGAGAGACAGGCAGAGAGACAGAAAGGGAGAAATCACTCCCTGGGAGGGTTACCATGCTGCAATCCCTTCTCCTCCCATCTCCTCTCAGGATTTTGGGCGTGGACACACATGTTCCCAGCATGAATTTCAAGCCACCACGTCCAAGATGCAAACTGCAGTCAACTATGTGGGAGTCGAACACCTTAACAACCTGCTGGTCCCACCACCTCTATTAATGCTCATCTCTGGTCTTCATTATTCCTTAGTTCGATTCCATGACAAGTAGGCCTGGGTGCCCACAGTACTGTATTATGGTAAAACACTAATTAGTAATGAAGAGACTCAAACCCATGAGAGATAATAACAGCTAAAGCATTGTGCTGACATCCATCTATAAAAGAAAGTCAGTGACTTAGCTGATAAAGACATGAATTGAAAAATTTTTAAAATGGCTGTGTTAGAATCATGTTAAGCCTCAGATATTATTAACAGAATCTCTTGCATAAGGGTCTCCTATACCCAAACCCTAAACACAGGCATTTCTTGTAATAGGCCACAGACTTCTTTTTCCTCCACATTGTATGTAGCTGACATAGAGGTTTATTTAGGGTTTCTAAGATGATCAGTTCATTTGCCTATGTAGGAAAAAAAAGTTATTGTCTTAAACCTTGTGGTTCAAACTAATCGAATATATTAGAAGCATGAAAGCATTAAAATTGGAAAATAATTTTTATTTAATTATTTATATGTCATAGATATACATGCCTTTATAAAGATGTGACTAATAGATACAGTGAATTATTATTTTAAATCTTTAGCAACGCAATAAAAAAAATGGAGATTTTAAAGTGATACCCTGCCTAAGGGGAAAATAATGGATGGTACTGCTAACTTTAGAAACCATATTTCAGACAAGTACAATGAAAGTCAATAAAGTATTTAATCATTTGTTATTAATCATTTTCATTTGAGAGCAAAAGATTACATGAAGTTATTTTGTATTGGGTTTTGTTTGTTTTGTTTACTACGAATGAACATTTACTTTCATATCTCATGTCTACAGAAATGTTCAAGAACTGAGAATGGAGAAAGTACAGTTAGAGTTCGAGAATCAAGAGATGGAAAATAAACTACGAGAATTCCAATCAGCAAGGAGCAAAGAAAAGGAAAGAAGAGAGTAGGTGAAATTTTTAGAGAATTTTAGAGGACTAAATTGAACTATCTAAAGAACTATTTTATTGACATATACTGTTGTCATTCCAATAAAAACTTGTTTAGTGGATGGTTTCTGGCTCTTCTGGATGAATAATATTCTCTATACTTTTTCTTTTTGTGTCACTTATATAAGATATGTTGTTTATTAAGATTACCATTTTCTTTCTTCTGAACTTGATTTCATCTCATTCTTTCTTCTCTTATGCTTCAATTTGTGGGATAGAATATTTAGGACAACGATGTAATCTCCACTCTTACTCTCAGAACTGCCACCAATTGCGGATGAAAATAGATTTATGTTTTTATTATTTAAAGAGCTTTAGGGGGCTGGGAATTTGCATATATATATGTATATGTATATATA